AATTAAAACTTTTCTTTAGCTGATCAGATACTAGTATTATATTAACATTTAACAGCAAATTATTTGATTGATTGATTGATTGACTTTATTGATCTCATAGTGGAGAAGTGTATTTGTTACATCAGCTCAAATAGTCAAAGAAGAAGAATGTGCCAAAGGAAGAAAAATGTGTATGGGATATATAAACAGTGCGTCCATATATGACAGTTTTTTTTTTTTGTTTAATAGTAAAGTAATACTTGTTAATAGTGGCTGTAAGAACTGTGAAAATGCTTTTTTTATTGAGCTTTGGTATTATTTGGTATTATGATCTATCATTGATCCTTAGGAATTAATGAGAATCAGTTTAAAGCTACTAATTATTTAAATTATGTTTGTTTTGTTTTTATTATAATTGACTGTCCAAGTTGAACCCGCATGTTTTTTTCAATTAATTTTCAGTAAATTTGCTTCTCTGTGTATGAAAATAGTGCTTGACACAATTATCTACACTCTTTTCTGCTGATGTGACAAACCATAGCAGGTTCATCTGCTGCCTAAGTGAATGTATTTGCCATTCATTTAGGAACGCAATTATATTTCATAACCGGTATTAAAGCGCCATACTTTCCTCAGATCTCCTTCACATATCAGTCTGCAGCTCATCTGAGCTCCAGCTCAACAGATCACATCGAATATGGCCTGGTTTTACTGAAAACCTAGAGTTCTATCCTATTTTTAGTGCCAAATCTAGTCATTTAGTCTTTAGTTCATTCATAAATCTCTCAGTTGGATGCTCTTGCTTTGAGGTAGCTGGATGGAGAGCTCTGCTATCCAAGGGTGGCAGACAGTGGTCAGCACTCTGCTCACAATATCCCACTGTTTATGGCAGTAAAAGAAAAACCCTTTACAGGGCCCTGTGATGAAACCCTTTTTATCAACATTAATTAATATTGATAAAAAGAAAGAAATTGTAATTAAATAATTCTAAAATGTAATTAAGACTCAAATGGACTCAGATCATTGTTATTGTTCTCTCTTCCCTGTAGTCTAATTATTAAGAGATGCTTAAAGCAGAATTATTAAAGACAGGTCTTCTTCTCCAACAACCTGAGCTACAGAGCTAGATTTGAGCAGCAGTGGAGTTTCTATTTGTCAGGTTTGGTTGTTCATACTGGAGAAGAGTTGGATTTTAATTAGCACTGAGTTATTCCTCACATAGTCTCATAATCCTAACAGTCTGCTATACAAGAGCCTTGCCGTAGAGAGGTTCTTGGTCATTACGCGTTGACCAACAAAGTGATCAAAGGGGAATCCATGACTTCCTGGTTGGTCCTTAAATTTGACCCCTAATGTTGTTAAAAGGAAGATGAAAATACCCTGAATTGCTGAGAGAATTTCATGGCAGACATTCCTCTCCCTGTAAGGCCGTCTGAGAGGGAGGAGGATAAGCAAAGCATGGAGGCAGAAAGCTTTAAAGCCAAAGGCAACACATCAAGGGGGTTACTTTAGGATTAATCTGATCCTTTGAAGGAGCGATAAAGGAGGTTCAGGTGTGAGCTCCATGGATACTGCTGCNAGAAAATTAAGCAAAGCAGCAAAATTAGACAATCAGAAGATATACAGTAACTCCTACAAGTCTGCTTTCATACCAGTATGAGTCAAGAGGGATGGAGAGCATAATAACAGAAGAAAGAAGACAACAGAGAACCAAAGTAAACATCAAAAATAGGCATCTAGAGCAGCAGGTATCCATTAGTAATACATATTGTTTGTATTTGCTGTCGGGGAAGAGCTTGTCTTTTTTTTTTTTTTTTCGTTTTTGGTTTTACTTGCAGTGATGTTCCATCACAGCTAGCCAAAAAACACAGCAAAGCATTTTGAATTATTGATTATCTTTATCATCATTAAGCCATTTAACATCATAAACATGGTGTTAAATAAGTTTTACCATACTGCTCATCTCTAACTGTACTGCTCTTTGCACATAGTTTACGGGAGTTTTATGAATCCTGTTTATTTTTCAGGAATTTAATGTTTTACCGCTAGAGCCGTTTTAAATCTAGCTCTGCTGTTCATGAATTAATGGTAGAGGTAACAAACACGCTCCATCCTTTTCAAATTTAGTCATTATAACCCTTTGACTTAAATCGTTCTCCTCATAAGAATCTGATTTTCTGCTTTGAAATTATCAAATTTGTGGGTTGTTTTGTTATAGATATTTTGTATTTATTTATTTTTTTATTTATTTATTTTTTTAATAAAGGGCTCTCTTTCATTTTTTTTCGATAGAAAAAGACAAAATATATACTCTTGACGTCAAACGTTTTGGGTGAACCATTATGGATCAGGTGTTTACAGTCAACTCTGATTTACTGCTCTGCTGCTAATAGTTTCCTCTAAATTGTTTCTATTAGTTTAGAAATCACTGGAAACTTTAGGACCATCCATCCATCCATCCATCCATCCATCCATCCTCTTCCACTTATCCGGGGTCGGGTCATGGTTGTACTTTCATCATATCAACCTTACAGAACACTCAGATCTTCTGGTTTCTGTCTACTTTGCATCCCTACAACCTAAACCAAACACGGTGAAGCAAACTGCTAGACAAACAACCAAAACACCAATTTTTTTTTTAAAAATCAAGGCTTAAGATCCTGCTGTTTAGAGCTGTAAACAAAGCAGTAAACAAATTCAGGTGGAAAGCTGCTCTAAACAAAACATCTTCTAACACGTTAACCTTCTACCTACAATTATCAGGTATATCTGGTTGATGGTCTTTATGATTTTGTGGGACTTCTGGTTTGAATTTAAAGACTTTAATGCACATTTGTTCTGATGTTTATAAGATGTAAAGCACTTTCAATTGCCTTGACTGAAATGTGCTATGAAAATACATTTTTATTCATTTACTTACTCTAAATGTTTGGCTTTATAGATGCCTGCCCACATCTTACCTCAAAGCATTTATTCAGAAACATTTATTAATTATTGATAATTATTCAAGCTGGGTGTCAATTCAAATCTCCAGAATTGATTCAATTCTCAATATTTAAAATAGTTTATTTTCCATCTGAACCAGTCCAATCTCAAATTGTGTTGCTGAAATTAAAACTTTTCTTTAGCTGATCAGATACTAGTATTATATTAACATTTAACAGCAAATTATTTGATTGATTGATTGATTGACTTTATTGATCTCATAGTGGAGAAGTGTATTTGTTACATCAGCTCAAATAGTCAAAGAAGAAGAATGTGCCAAAGGAAGAAAAATGTGTATGGGATATATAAACAGTGCGTCCATATATGACAGTTTTTTTTTTTTGTTTAATAGTAAAGTAATACTTGTTAATAGTGGCTGTAAGAACTGTGAAAATGCTTTTTTTATTGAGCTTTGGTATTATTTGGTATTATGATCTATCATTGATCCTTAGGAATTAATGAGAATCAGTTTAAAGCTACTAATTATTTAAATTATGTTTGTTTTGTTTTTATTATAATTGACTGTCCAAGTTGAACCCGCATGTTTTTTTCAATTAATTTTCAGTAAATTTGCTTCTCTGTGTATGAAAATAGTGCTTGACACAATTATCTACACTCTTTTCTGCTGATGTGACAAACCATAGCAGGTTCATCTGCTGCCTAAGTGAATGTATTTGCCATTCATTTAGGAACGCAATTATATTTCATAACCGGTATTAAAGCACCATACTTTCCTCAGATCTCCTTCACATATCAGTCTGCAGCTCATCTGAGCTCCAGCTCAACAGATCACATCGAATATGGCCTGGTTTTACTGAAAACCTAGAGTTCTATCCTATTTTTAGTGCCATATCTAGTCATTTAGTCTTTAGTTCATTCATAAATCTCTCAGTTGGATGCTCTTGCTTTGAGGTAGCTGGATGGAGAGCTCTGCTATCCAAGGGTGGCAGACAGTGGTCAGCACTCTGCTCACAATATCCCACTGTTTATGGCAGTTAAAGAAAACCCTTTACAGGGCCCTGTGATGAAACCCTTTTTATCAACATTAATTAATATTGATAAAAAGAAAGAAATTGTAATTAAATAATTCTAAAATGTAATTAAGACTCAAATGGACTCAGATCATTGTTATTGTTCTCTCTTCCCTGTAGTCTAATTATTAAGAGATGCTTAAAGCAGAATTATTAAAGACAGGTCTTCTTCTCCAACAACCTGAGCTACAGAGCTAGATTTGAGCAGCAGTGGAGTTTCTATTTGTCAGGTTTGGTTGTTCATACTGGAGAAGAGTTGGATTTTAATTAGCACTGAGTTATTCCTCACATAGTCTCATAATCCTAACAGTCTGCTATACAAGAGCCTTGCCGTAGAGAGGTTCTTGGTCATTACGCGTTGACCAACAAAGTGATCAAAGGGGAATCCATGACTTCCTGGTTGGTCCTTAAATTTGACCCCTAATGTTCTTGAAAGGAAGATGAAAATACCCTGAATTGCTGAGAGAATTTCATGGCAGACATTCCTCTCCCTGTAAGGCCGTCTGAGAGGGAGGAGGATAAGCAAAGCATGGAGGCAGAAAGCTTTAAAGCCAAAGGCAACACATCAAGGGGGTTACTTTAGGATTAATCTGATCCTTTGAAGGAGCGATAAAGGAGGTTCAGGTGTGAGCTCCATGGATACTGCTGCAGTGTTTTACCCCGTTTGAAACCAGAGTGTTTAGCCATTATAAGAGGCTCCTCTCAACACTGACGACATTCATGTACGGTCTGACATTGTTTCCCTGAGCAGCAGTTTGAAGGGATTATTCAGCATAATAACCAACCAGGCTTCTGTAATGAGCAACTTGGGCTCAGGCTGAGCTCTTCCAGATGGCTGAAGTGAAATGCCACCCTGAGCATTTCACCAGTCATCATGGAGAGAAGATGACTGCTCAGAGTTACTGGGGATTTTGGAGCCTTTTCAAAATGCCAATTTCTTCCAGGTCAAATTTCTTTTTTTTAATTATTTCTTTCTTAATATCTTTTTTTCTTTCTTTTTCACAGGTAGCAAGGAGGCATAACGCAAAGGGACTGTGACCCAGATCCCTCTCACTTTCTGATCCCAGCCCCCCTCCTGAGAAAGGATGGAGCCCTGGAGTTCTCAGGGGCAGCTCGGAGCAGAGGGGGACTGCGAGATGTCCAATCTGCTGGTGCCGAGCCCCCAGAGTGAGGCGGTGACCCACGAGTTGGAGGAACTGTCCCTGCAGCCCACACAGAGCCTGCCTCCTCTCAATGAACGCAAAAATGGTGAGAACACGCTTCCTCTGCATAAACCTCACGCTATGTTCTCCGCTTTTATGCCCACACTGACCTGATATTTCCTCTGAAGCTATGCAAAGCCTATTTTAGTCATCAGAGGTGCAGCATGTGTTTAGAAGTTGTTCAACATCATCTAAACTGCAGGACCAAGTGATGGATTTATTAAAGGTTAGAGGTTGTAGGGCAGCTGAAAGTTGTCTAAAAGATGAACAGAAGGGGTGAACTAATTATTGTTGGGTTGTACGTCCAAACTGAAAGTCATGTTTTATTTAGGTAGGTTTCTGTGGCAGAGCTGGGGATCCTCTTTAGGATGAAAGCATTTTTTATGCCTGTTTAAGATCTATCTTAAATATAAAAAGACTAGGGGCGTGCTTTGGGGGCGCAGAGGTTAGCGCACACCACCCATGTACAGAGGCCTTATGCTATGTTCACACCTAAAGCAGCAAAAGCAGCAGGAGCAGCTAGTTTACATGCAAAGTAAATGGTTGACGTGCATCACGGCACAGCAGAACGCCGTGCAGCGCGTCTGAGCAGCTGAAGCAACACCTCATGCGCTTCTGAGCATCTGATGCATGGGAAGCGCTGCAAACGCAGCAGCTGCTGGAGTTGGAAAAAATGAACTTTTGCTGCTTGACGTGCCACATCAACCAAACAGAGAAGCTGATCTGGGAGCTGGCAGGGAGAGAGACACATCACTGATGATACAGATCACTATGATCACTACTCTGAAACAGTTTATCAATGCCTAAATTAACTTACAATGGCGAAATCTGCCGGCGAAATATGTTCACTTTTATTAGATACATGAAAAACGCCTTCCAGCCACAGCGGCAAACCGCGGAGAGGTGACCGGGACAGAGGCTGCTGTTGAATGGGATTCCTAGTGACGGCGCACCGCCTGTATGTGGGGGTCTGAGCGGCTCCGACAGAGAAATAATATTTGAAGGCAGGATGATAATCTGGATGAACTGACTGCATAGGTGTAGTTTTCAGGTAAACTTTCTCACTTAAAAACATATTAAAACTACTTTTTACCCAATGATTACAGCATATATAGCTGCCATTGTTACAGACAACGAAAGGATAGTATAGCGCCATCCAACGTGCATCGGACCAACTTTTCGACCATGCAACCGGAGCAGCAAAGATGCTTCAGCCGCATGTCAGAACTAACCTTGTACAAGCATCAAAAATGAAGCAGCACACGTGTTTTTGCTGCTCTTGCTGCTTGCGGTCTGAACGTAGCATAAGTCCTCGACGCAGCCAACCTGGGTTCGAATCAGTCTGTGGTCCTTTGTTGCATGTCTCTCCCCCTTTCTCTTACGCCCTTTCCTGTCAGCTTACTGTCCAAAAAAAAAAAAAAGAGCCACTAGTGCCGTAAAATCTCAAAAAATATATATATAAATAAAAAGACATTTAGAAAACTTCCATCATTGCTCAATCTAAATTGTGTCAATATTAAGTATCAGTTTTTGCAATACCAGAAAATTAAAGGAGAGAAGAAGGTTGAAATCTTAAGTAATACACTAAAAAACAATGTTTCCTTGTGGCAAGAAAGTCCTGGGTTGGACTTGGCCTTTTCTTCATGGATTTTCTTTCTGTTTTCGCTCTGCATGTGCAGGTTCTCTACAGGTACTACGACTTCCTCCAATACCCAAAAACATGGGCAAAAGGTCTCTAAATTTGAGAAATGGAAAATATTCTTGAGTGAAAGAACATTCAGAACATCTGCCACCTTGTCCAGGTCTGTCTAATCGCTAGATACTAAAGTAAACTGCTGTAGGTTCAATGGGGTCAATGTATCTCCAATCAGAAAGAGGCAGATCCAGTTTCACTTCCATGGGAGGAAACCTTCAACATTAAAGTCAGGTTGAAGTTTGCTACAGAAAATGTGGACAAAGACCACAACTTCTGGATTAATGCTTATTGGACAGATGAGTCTAAAACTGAATAATTTGGAAAACAAAAGCAAGGATGGGTTTTGGTTAAACCAGATTTAGTATTCTAGGAGCAGAACATCATAGTAACTGTGAAACGTAGTGGTGTCATGGTTTGGGGATATTTTACTGCTGCCAAAACTGGTCAACTTATTATTATAGGGCACAGAAATAATTCTACCGTGTCTGAGAGGTAGTTTAGGAAAACATGAGACCATGTGGGTGAGCTTAAAGCTGAATGTGAACTGAACCAGCCAACATAACGATTACCCAAAATACATTAGCGAATCCACCAAGAACTGGCTGGGAAAGGAGCGGTGGAAGCTTCTGGTCTCAGTCGAAGCCTAAATCTTGATCTTATCAAAGTTCTGTGGCTCGACTGAACATTAATTTTACACCTCAAAGCGTCATCTGTGCAGTTAGTTCCTTAGTTGTTGTTTGGAACGACACCTTTACTCATTTTTTGTAGTTTTACACTGACAGCTCTGCAGGAGGAGAGATCACATTTTGGGCATTTTCTGGATTAGCTTCTCTGATTGGTTTAAATTTACCGAATTCAGCATGACGCTGTGGACGCTCAAAAGGCGGGTAGATTTGCCGCTGTCGATGCTCAAATCGGGCGGCAGGACCTCTAGACGCCACTTGATGTTATCCACCATAGGCTCTGAATGTAAACCAGACAACTTAGCTGAAAACAAGTTCTGTATGACCACGCCATAAGAGAACAACAGTCACTATAGGAACAGTTGAGCACAAAACAAGCTCAGATACAAGCTTGAAGACTCCATGACATGCAGGGTTTTGGACATTCTGCAAATGGATGATGAAATCTGTGAGATTCCTCTGAAAAACAAACCAAATGGCAAATGAGTTCCCGCCCTGCAGGGACCCGCACTGCACAGTAATGACACAGCATGCTGGCTATGCAGTTATCCAGTTACTGCTTCTTTTCCATTTTCTGAAATGCAAATAGATAAAAGTACCGCTATTAAACATGTTTTCGGCCTTTTTATTTTCTGATTTAAAGAACGTCTAGAAATAACCACAGCAGATGTATCCCAGTCACTCACAGCATATAGATTCTCATCTCCAAGATGATTTTTGCTCATATTCTTCTTGCATTTTAATCATAAGAACTGATCTGTCAATATGCTTTAAATACTCCCACTTGTCGTTTTGTCCTTCTGTCCATCCAATATCATAATCCCAATTAAAGATTAGTTTATATTAATGCAGCTGGAGAAAAGACTATAGTCTTTTCTCTGCTGTCTCTGCTGTAAACAAGGCAATTATCATCATCTTTCTAAGTTGCCAGCGTGTTAGCTTTTCCAGACTTTTCCAGTGTTGTGGAAGCAAAACCTTAGAGCTCCCTCTGACACTGATGAATGGGTTTACCGTTATCAGGCTTTAGGAGCAGCTCTGATTCACAGCAGAACTTCCCTCCTTCTAATCAGGGCTTAGATGGCTGAAAGAGATCAGTTTAGGTATTCGGTCGGGTCGGCTTGCTCTACTAAATCTGATTGGCTGGGTGTTTAATCTGAGTTCTCCCAGACTGGATCCAACACATTTTACCATCAACCCTGAAAGATTTTGGGGTTTTTTGCACGTGCTCTTGCCCTAATATGCAGGAACGTGTTGAAGCGTTCTCCTGGTGGAAAGTTTTGCAGGAATTTCAGCAATAGTAGCACCCACTCATCATGTCGGCTGCTGTCATTTCCCCTCCATTGAGATCTTGCACCTCATACTTTCCACCATGTAAGCCCTTCCCACAGCTTTGTCAACCGCAGAGTCCTCTCTCTCAGTGTCAGCCACGCAGGTGTTGATGTGTCTGCCATCATGACGGCTCCTCGGTTTCAAAGCTTAGATGGAAAAGGAAAGGCTACTCCGCTGCTGTCAGCAGAAATAGGCGGTAATGGTAAACTCTGCCTGTCATTGAGTTCTACCGAAACTTTGAAAATGGGGATTGGAGCAGCTCTCCAGTCATCTCGTCTGTATTAGGTTAACTTCTGAAATGCTTTTTCGCTGCTGAGGGATAATCATATTAAAATCCCACAGGTCTTATATGGCCTCAGCGAAGTGAAGTGACAGTGTCAGACTATTTATTTTCATAGAGGTCAAGTGTTCTGGTGAAGCTGCCAAAAAATGTCTGTCTTGTATTTTCTTCTGGCCTCTTCTATGAAAATTGTGGAAACTTTTGGTGAAATACTTACCACCACCCCCCTCCCCCATGAATCTGAATCCAGCTTCGATTCCCCAGAGCTGCCTGTTTGTTCACTGTTTAAAAATAGCTAACGGAGACATTTTTTCATCCTTCCATGCTGTTTCATCTCATCTGGCTTAGTTTTTTTTGTTTGTTTTTTTCAGGTTATAAAGATTGTTCATTTTAGTGTCTGTAGTTCAGCAAAGATGTAAAATATTAACCCTGCCTGCAGGCCGTATTCCTACGGTATTTCCACACTGGAATCCAGCTCGTACCGCTCCCGCTTCAGACGGTCACGTTGCACTATTATGGTTTAAGTTGGGACATATAAATGTGACAAAATCAAGAGCTTTGTGATTAAAAAAACAAAGTAAAAACATTTCAAAGGCATCGACAAGAAGCCATATTTCTGCTTGGAGGACAAAAAAGTCTGATTACTTCCCCTCTGGAGTTGGTGGTTGGGCTGTTTTTTTTTTTTAATTGTGCCAAGCAATGTTTGTCATTCCTGCTCTGTGATGTCATTCCTCTCTCCTCAGACCATTCAGGTCAAAGGTCATAGCATGTGTGTCAGGCGGAGCAGCAGCACTTCCCAGAGGAATTTGGAACCGTTGGATTAACTGGAAGTTGGTCGGAATAACGCAGAACATTCAAACTGTGGTTCAAGCAAATCTAACTTAGAGATCTGTTCAGAAAAACATGGACCCAGATTACTGTTCAGGTTTTCCTCTCGTCTCTCTCTGGTGACGGTTTCTATAGTTCTGTATTGTGGAGGCAGCTCAGATTAAGTGGAGCAGCATCACCCGCATGTTTACCAGCACTGTCCAAACACAACCCTGTTCTGCTGCAGGTCTTTCAGTGAAAAGAAAAGTCTCTGAATGACCATATATGTTCTACACATCACTTGTTTATTTCTGTTTTACTGAATGTAGCACCTTTGGGATTTGTAGACAATGATAAGCAGACCAGATCAGTTAAGTTTGCTTCTACTGCTGGGATACAGATGCTCCTCTGAGCTTTTGTGAAATGCTGAGTCAGATACTTAGCAGTTCCTCAGAAGTTACCCGGAGCCTGAGTCGCCCTCGGCCGTTTGAGCTGCGGTACAGTCAGAAAACCCCCTTCCACGCCGATTGAAGGGGAAGTAAGTGTGAAGTCAAAAGGAGCTGGGTGCCAGTCACCTAATATAAACATCAATGTTACTGAGGCCCAGAGAAACTGTCCATTGGCCCATTATGGTTTCACTTTAATTCTATGCTGCGCAGAACTGCTGGGATTTAATCACAGAGTCTGGGCCGACACGTTTTTGTTGTGTTTGGCTGGTATTGAGGGGACACTGATGTAAAATGGTGTTCTAGATTGAGGCACAGATCCTCAGTAAATACAGAAACAGTTTTTAGGGCAAAATCAATGTGAGCATCCCGCTTTTTTGTTCACTTATGCTATTCAACAGAAATTCACTGATCTAAACGCTGAGATATAGACCAGAAGTCTTCAAATCTGGGGACATGAAACTATTGAATTATTGGCAAAACCACACTAATACTGCTGGTACTGGTTAATAGTAAAATTGTCTTGTTTTTGCTGCAGAGGGATACATGCAGAAGTTTTATTTTTATTTTTTAACTCTTTCACAGCTTCTATGAAACGTAACAACTGAAATTTTGTTTGACGCATATCTGAAAGGAAGCAGGAATAAAGGAAATGGATGAGCTCATCAGGAAGGCAGGCTCTGTCCTAGGATGACGCCTGGAGACGGAGCAGGTGCTAGGAGACAACAGCCGTCTGACAAAAATAAAATAATTGTTGGAAAACGTCTCACGCCCTGTTCAGGGAGCTGCAGCAGAGACGGACTGCTGTACTTTAGATGCACTAAGGCGCATTATCACAGATCCCTCCTCCTAGAAGACAGTAAAATCAGCATTGTTCCAGTTATTATCAAGTGTTAACAACCCTGCTGTTCTTGAATACTTGTATTAATAATAAATAGTCTAGTGGTATTTTTAAAAATAATTGTAGAAACATGTTTTGTGCTCATTATCATTATTAGGTCATTATTAGGTCCTATCCAGCCTAGTTGCATACTTCTTTTAAAAGTTCTTATTCTGTGTGTGTGTGTGTGTGTGTGTGTGTATATATATATATATATATATAGTCTTGTTTGTTTGCTTCTGTGACATATGTGGAAGGTTTTCTTTTCTATTCTGGGTAACACTAAGTTGTCACTCTTCCTCTTCTAAATGCAAACCTGTTGTGTTGTCAGGTTTGAGCTGCCTAATGTCAGCAGGATGTGACTTGCACCTCATGGTGTGGAAAGATGTTTGGGTTTTAATTGTCTTCCTCATTTTAATTTCCTCTTCTCTTTTTTAACCGGTTACCTCATCTGTCTACTTTTTTCTCACACTTTTCTTCTTTCACGTCCAATGTTTGCCGCCTCACAAACTGTCCCCCCTGTTCTTGCAGTGCTGCAGTTGAGGCTTCAACAGAGGCGGACTCGGGAGCAGCTGGTGGACCAGGGCATCATGCCTCGTGAGTAACAGACACGGCCACTGAACCCCTAACGTGATGTGGGGGTGTTTAAAATAACAGATCGCTTCCTGCTGAGATCCCAGTTGGTGAACAGGACTTTGAGGCTGCTTGCCACATGATGACAGGTCTGAAGTTGATGTCTTTGTCATGTGTTGCAGCTCTGAAGAGTCCAGCAGCTTTCCATGGGCAGATTCGCAGCCTGGAGAGAGCTAGGGTGAGAAACTTAGTTTGAACACAAACTTAACGTATTCATTTTTGGGTTTAATGTGGTTTTTATTTATACTCTAAAGTGAAAAAGGGTTT